GCCGCCCCTTACTAGGTGCCGCCCCAAGCATGTGTTTGGTCGGCTGGTGCCTGGAGCCGGCCCTGCATGTGACTGATGGCATTAACAGGAATCACAAGCGTATGCATTTGATTGGTTAGGAGTCAACTCTGCAAACAGATTTAACAAAAGCATCTAAAGAGTGTGGGGATTCCTAGCTTTTAAGGTCAGAAGAGACCATTATGATCATCTAGTCTCACCTCCTGCCGGTCATAAAATTCCACCCAATAACTCCTGCATCAAGCCCATAGCTTCTGCTTGATTTAGAGCAGGGGTTCTCATACTGGGGGTCGTGAGCCCTCAGGGGGTCATGAGGTTATTACATGGGGATCGTGAGCTGTCAGCCTCCACCCCAAACCCCGCTTTGCCTCCAGCATTTACAATAGTGTTAAATATTTTAAAAAGTGTTTTTAATTTATAAGGGAGATTGTACTCAGAGGCATGCTTTGCGAAAGGGGTCACCAATACAATGTTTGAGAACCACTGAGTTAGAACATATATTTTAGAAAGACACTCAATCTTGATATAAAGATGCAACAATAGGAAAAGTTATGCATACCTCACAGCCTAATTAAAAGGCTCTAATTTGCCCTACTATAGATGTAATGTCATATTGATAGTAACAGTGGTAATTTACATTTATACAGCACTTTTTACCCCCCAAAAAATTCAAAATGCTTCACCAACTATTTACATCTAGCAACGCTATGATGGCAGCTACCTCTGGGCTTGAGTACGGTTACCAACTGGTGTACAGTTCATTGCACACAGTTGAGTGGGAAGAAAAGGCAGTTTCCCAGGACACCTGGAACAAATCCCTACTCTACAAGATCTTTTTTTTGTTTTTTAGTAAAGATCCTGTCTTTTGTATGCGTATTAAACCTCCATCCAAGATATCCCCACTTACCAGACACTACGTAGCCCTTGAAAACATATAGCATATTTTTATTAATTTCTATTATACCTATTGCCAGGGCAAAAATGCACTTCAGTTACAGAGCTTAAAAGGTAGTCAGTCAAATCCTAAAGAAAGTAAGTGTGCCTTGACCATACCATGACGATAACTAGACTTTAAAGGACCAAACAAGGGGCTAGAATTCCAAAGGCAGGAATCATCAAAAAAGAAAGCCCTGTGAGAAATCATTAAGTGTTCAAACATTGGTACCAAGAATTTAGTGCCTCCCAACCAGTCGGAGAACTCTCGGACTCCGGACTATTCAGCTTTGCATCAAACACCTATGGAAATGAGATTTAGTTTTATTCTATGAAAATATCGCAATAGCCGAAACCTGTCACAATCATGGTGGTTATGCTCCCAAAAATCATTCCATTTGTGTGAAATAAGCTGCCAAAGAGATACCATCAACTTTTATGTCGTTGGCACTGGAACCAGTGGCTTCTATTGGTGGAGAGTCTACATGGCAGTTGGTAGTGTTTAACTAGCACATACTCTAACAGGTTTTCAGGATAGTGTGAAGACTGTCTCTCTCAGCATATTCTCATCAATACAAGAGTGGTGTAGCCCTGACTCTCCCCAGTGCTAGGAGATAAACTGCATGGAATTTCTTCATCCCTCACATTTGGCTTTTCTGTGCCCCTTCACTCCCACTCTTAAGGATAGAGTCCTCCATCGTGTAACTATGGCCTACATTGTTCGTTTCTAGATGTATAAGTTTTCATTTAGTTGTATTAAAACATGTATTGTTTGCTTGTGCCCCAGCTTACTAAGCAATCTAGATCACTCTGTATAACTGACTTAGCCTCTTCTTTATTTACCACTCCCCCAGTTTGGGTGTCATCTGCAAACTATCAGTGAAACGGACACACACAGAGACGCTGGCAAAAATACTCTATTGGCAATACATTCAACATCTAAAAAGGAGTGCATCACAATTAACAATAAGCACTTCAATCTCTAACTCCTATACATTCAGATACGCAGAGCCAAGAAGGCCATCTGTAATAGCACATCTGGAGAGTCCCAGTACTGAAAACAGTCTAAGTATCAGTGTAGACCAAACCAAAATGCATTCAGTGCCATTTCAAAAAGTGTGAAGATCGGGTGGAACATGCTACTACTGGTCACTTTTTCTATGCTGGTTTTAAAGTGCCTTGTCTACATTTGCAGATAATGATTTTCAGCACCAGATG